TTTGAAAGTGTGATCTAGTAATCATAAAGAAGACTAAATTTATCTGTAATGGCACACCTAACTGAAAGTAAAGAGATAGAAAAAAATATTCCATACAAGAGAACATAAGTGGCTGAATTTATAACAAGATAGACTTTAGTTAATAAACACACAAAAAAGAAAATGACGAAAACAGTAAAATATTTGTTTACCAAATATTAGTGCACCTAAATATATAGAGCAAATACTCTGAGCATCATAGGAAGTAAATGAAAGAAGAATGGTGCTCCCTTGACAGTACTGTCCCCCCGTACAGAGAGGGCATGAACAGCAGAACTGAGTGACACCAGAGACCACATTGTCCTCTCAGACATGTACAAAACATTCTTCAGAACAGGAAAATGTGGGACCACAAAAGATAGTCTTAAAGATTCAAAGATTGAAGTCATACAAAGCATCTTTTCTAACACTATTTGTGTAAAAATACAAATCAGTAATGGAAGGAAAATTCATGAGAATGTGGAAGTTAAGCAGTTTGATCCCAAAAAGCTAAAAGGACTGATTATAAATGAGAGAAATAAAGAAATAAGGAGATAAATGAAGGTGGAAACAAAATTTATAAAGTGTATGTTGTGCAGAAAATGTGGGTTTGAGTAGAAAGATTACAGCTGTCAACAAAGGGGCCTCAAGTGCACAGTCTCTTAAAGAACCAGGGAAAAAGTAATTGAGCCCAAAGTTAATTGAAGGAAGGGACTAGTAAGCATTAGGAAAGAAATAATTCAGATAAAAGGAATTGAAAACAAAACAAAGATCAGTGAAACTAAGCTAATTTTTTAAAATATAAGATTGACAAATCTTTAGTCAGCTAGACTAATAAGGAAATCAAAATAGAAAGAATTTATAATTCTAACTACAGAAATATGGCTGATCAACAAAAAGTGATCCAGACCAGATAATACTCTGGACAATTACATGTTAAGAAGTTAGATAAGCTAATGGATGAATATTCCTGAAAACCAACTACCTACTAAGACTGAAGCATGAAGAAATACAAAATCCAAATGAATAACAAGTAAGGCAATTGAATCAGTAATCACAAACCTCCCAACAGACAGAATTCCAGTGCCATATGGCTTCCCCAGTGCTTGGAACAACATTAAAAAAAATTAATGCCAGTTCTTGAACTCTTCCAAAAAAATTAGAGGACTGAACACTTCCAAACTTTATTTACAAGGTCAGTATTACTCTAAAGGCAAAGTTAGATGAGGTCATGGAAAAAGAAGAAAATTACATTCCATTATCACTCAAACACAGATGCAAACATTTTCAACAGAATACTAGCTAGCCACATTAAAAATCTTATACACAATGTTGAAATGGTATTTGGTCTGTGGATGTTTCAAATATGCAAATAAATACATATGAGATGCTAAATTAGCAGGATAAAACAGTCATATTTTCACCCAGCAGATATAAAAAAAGAATTTCACAAAATTTCACATTTTATGTTTAAAAACAAAATATTAGATACAGAGTGAGTAGACCTCAGTACAACACACAGTACATCATACTCAATAGTAAAACTCATTTTCCATTTTCTGTAAAATCAGGACCAACGTAAAAATGCTTAAAGAAATTAAGGTTACAGAAGTCATGAGGGAGAAAGTATAGTTATCTCTGTTTGAAGATTGCACAGTTGTAGACTTAAAAAATCCCTAAGACTATACCTCAAAATTAATGAGCTCAGTAGTGTTCTGCCTCTCTACACTAATAGCACACCCTCTGAAACAGAAATGACAGGAATGGTCACTTACAATAACAGCAAAACCATAAGAGAAAAACTAGGAGTAAAATTTAATCAAGAAAATAAAATTATGTTAATTTTTGCAATTGATGAAATACATTGAGGAAAATATAAATGGAAAAATAGACTATGCTCATGGGTTAGAATAATTAATACTGTTAAAATGTCTTAGTATCCAAGTGTGTGTATGTGTGTGTATGCGTGTGTGTGCGTGTATGTATATATTTATCCACTACAACTGCTGTTAATAATCCCATTATATTTAACATACATAGTAAAGAATTTTATAAAACAATAAAAGATATTGACTAAACAAAGCAATGTTGAACAAGAAGAATTAAGCCAGAAATATTATACTTTGTGATTTGAAACTGTATTGAAAAGTTATCATACTCAAACCTTCATGATTTTGACATAATAGAAAGAAATATAAGTCAACAGAACAGAGCAGAGCATAAATTAATCTATGGATATATCACTAACTAGTAAGTGGCAGATACAAAGAGCCGATGACAGTGAATGTAATGTTTGTTTGGTTTTTTTGATAAATGGTACTGGGAAAACTGACTGACTAGGGATTGACCAAGAAAGGACATGAATGCAGTTTTTCAAATAATGATATATTCTTGTTGCTATGACAGTATACTGGACAAGAAGCAACTTAAGAGAGAAGATTTTGTTTGGGCTCATAATGTAGAGTTGATTCTATCATAGTGGTAAGGATTGGCTATGACACTACTTCACAGCTCTGATGACAGGTAGGAAGCCGCCAGCTTACATCTCCAAAGATCAAGGACCAAAGAGACAAGAGGACTAGAGCCAGGTTGTAAACCTCAAATCCAACACCGAGTGGACTGCTTCTACCAACTAGACTGTACCTCCTAAAGATTCTGCAGCATCCTAAACACACTAGCTGGCAACCAAGTGTTCAAATTTTACATGAGCCTGTGAGGGTTGAATCCAAACCACAACAGATGGAAATTCCATCTACTTAGACCTAGGTGTAGGTTAGCCAAAAAAGTTCTCATTTAGTAAAAACTCATAAAAGTATGTAATCATGGCATGCGGTAATACACTGTGTAGAAATTTGATCTCAAAAGTATCAAAAGAATTCATCGTTAATGATATACATGGCAGTATAATTAGGGGCCACCTGAGCAGATGCCTGCCATCTTCTTTAAAATGCCTCAAGAATGTAAGATACATCAATGGATAAATATGTACATGACAAATCAAATATAGAAAACTGATTATAATATATAGGTTAGAGGTACATGTGCCCTAAACATTTTTCAACCTTTCTGTATGTTTAACATTTGTATAACTGAATATGTGTTATTCCAGAACTGAATGTGCGTTATTCTCAAGTACCCTCCTCCAGAGTCTCCTGCAGAAAGATCACCTGAGTCCTTTCTGATTTGAGTCACATCAAAAAGAAAATCTCCACTGTAAAAGATAGAAAAGGAACACATATTAAAGACTCACAATTCAACTACAGAGCTAGCTAGTTTAGATTTTTATCAACTTGGGTCATCTAGGAAGAAGGAATCTAGATTTTTTTTTTTGGTTTTTCAAGACAGGGTTTCTCTATGTAGCCCTGGCCATCCTGAAACTCACTCTGTAGACCAGGCTGGCCTCAAACTCAGAAATCTGTCTGCCTCTTCCTCCCAAATGCTGGGATTAAAGGCGTGAGCCACCACCTCCCGGCAGGCAGGAATCTAGATTTTAAAAGAAAGAAAAAGCCCACATCAGCTTGATCTGTTAGCAAGTCTATGAGGCCTTTTCTTGATGGAGAATTGATATGGGAGGACCCAGCCCACTTTGGGTGGTCCCATCCATAAGCAAATGGGCCTGGGTTGTATAAGAAAGCAAGATAAGGGAACCATGAGCACCTGCCAGTAAGTATTGTTCCTCTGTGGCTTCTGCTTCCCTTCCTGCCTCCAAGTTCCTGCCTTTAGTTCCTGCCTGGATTTTGACCTTTTTCCCCCAACTTGTTTGTGGTCATTTATTTATCACATAGATACAATAGATACCTAACCAGGACAACTACATTAAACTTTTTTCCCCATGAAACAGTATAGTTAAAAGAAGAATAAAATATAAAAAAATAACATATTCAATAGGCAAGTATATTTTCAGTAGCATAATGTGATTTACTAAAATATAATTTAAAATGCCAGTAAAGATACAGGTATGTCAAGGCTGATTCTCCACTTGATCTGTAATAATAGAAGTAAGAATTTGGAACTTCAAAATAGTTATAAGGCAAATTGTATGAAAGTATCCGATTGGTGTTTGCTCATACAGTAGAGAAACAGATATTTCACTCTGTCTGTTTGGATTTTGGTGTGTATCGGGGAGGAAGAGTAAAGAGAGAATCAAGTACCAGTTAACAACACGACAGCAACCTCTTTGTTGTGGTAATTTTACTTTTTGCTTTGTATCAGAGAGCTGCTGAGGATGATTATTTATTGAAGCCTTTGAACTAGCAAAGCGTTGAAACAGCCCAACACCTGGCCAGCCTGGCTTGGGCTCCCAAAGCCTTGTAACACAGAACTCTGGCCATGCAGAGTCAAATGTGCTTTTCTTATTTGCCTGTAAAAGTGACATACACTAGTTCTTCTTGATTTCTCAAAGTGAAAACATAAATACTTCTGTGACATCATTTCAGCTTTCCTGTATGCTTTCAGCCCCTCCCACCTTATGAGCATGAGTCAGTCACACCGGCACTGTACTTGGTCATGTCTAGTTGTTCCCAGCATCTCTAATTTAGATTTCATAAAATATTGCAGAAGCAACGTTTTCAGTGACCATCTTTCATCAGCATATGTAACAGTTAAGCCTACTATGCAATAGCTTATTACAATTAACAAGCAAACCGTGTGTTTACAGATAGATAGACCTGTCCCATCGGCTCCACTGTGCTTCATCATGATTGTAAGTAGCTTGCCTGCTACAAGCTTGACCAACCAAGATACCAGCAAGCTTCTCTAAAACTGAGTTTAGAGAGCTTTGGTTAATAAAGAAAGGTCGTTAAGAGATGATTTAAGAGAGCTTTTATCACATAATGACAATAGGTAGATAGCAACCAAAATAAATAAAATCAGGGTAACCTTAATAAAAATGATTTACTAGTGAATTCACATTTTTATGTTTTGGCCATTTTGTCTTCATTATGACTTCCATATGAGCCCTTGTTCTCGTCAATATGTTATAGGCTTTGGTCAATGAGTTACAAAGTGAAGTCCATAGGACAAGACACCAAATCAGAGAGCTTAAGAAGATGCAGAAAAGCAGACATGCTTGTAAAACCTCAACCCACAAAGCCCAGACCTTGGCAGCTTCCATTCTGAACATCTCACGGTCAGACCTGGAGGAAATACTGCACACAGAAGATGAAATGGTAAGATCACTTGAATATTCATTAATAAAGGGCTGGCTGCATTTTTACTTAAACATACTTTTTTGTTTTATAATTCTTAGATTTCACTTTATGAGGATTTTGTTGAGTTGTCAAAGAAAGATACATATAGTATAACCAACTCAATGCCTTTAGAGAAATTCAATATGTAATACAGACATGAGTCAAGTATGGAACAGGAAAGGATAGCAGACATAATAAGCAATTAGAAAGATTCATGATGCCTGTTACTCATGTTAGTTTTCCCTTCCTGTCTCCCCCATTCTCTTTAGCTAGTCATAGTGTATATCTTGTAAGCCAGGGTTTTTATCATTGGTGTGTGTGTGTGTGTGCGCGCGCATGGGGTGGGGAGAGGGAGAAAGGCAGGAAGAGAGCAGGAGAGGAAGAGAAGAGAGGGAAGGAGAGGCTGAGAGAAGAAGGAAGCGAGGGAGGGAGAGGGAGAGGAAGGGAGTGAGCAGAGATGGTGGAGAGGCAGGGAGAGGCAGGGAGAAGGGAGATTTTTTTTTTGTGTGTTTGAAACAAGATCCTTGCTATGTTATCCAGGCTGTTCTCAAATTACTAGACTCAGGTAATCCTCCTGCTTCGGCCCCTTTACCCATTCAGACTACAGGTCTGTACTACCATACCCAACAGTAACCACAATTTTTTGGTTAATTTATTTTATGAATATAAGTGGTCTTTCTTCATGTATTTGTTTGTACCACATGCATGCCTGGTGTCAGAAGAGGGGAGTGAAACCCCTGGAGCTGGAGTTACAGATAATGTTGGTGCTTGGAACCAACCCTGTGTCCTGTGAGGAAGCACCAAGCACTAACTACCTAGCTAGCTCCAACCCTGTGTCCTCTGAGAGAACACGGAGCACTAACTGCCTAGCTAGCCCACACACTCTGGTCATCACGATTCTTAATTCACCAGTCCTATGCACACAGTACACTCAAGACACCATTGATTTGATACAAATCTTTTGTGTGGGGTTTTTTTTTTCTAACAAATTTGCTTTTCTGGCTGAAATGATTATTTTGATAGTTCTACCTTTTAAAAATACTTACTGTTTTAAATTGGATAAGTTACTCCTGTTTGGGTGGATTATATTTCTATGTGTCGGCCCTGGGGGGAAGGATCCTGTCTCATCTATGCACAGTATTCATTAACTGTGTGAGGGATACTTGTCTTCAGTTATTTATTGTTTGGAAAGATTTAAGACAGGATGATACCGAGGTCATCACAATAAATATTTGCTCAATGATGAATAAAGCACTAGACTTAAGGTTTTGTACGAGACCATCCTCTGTGCAATGCTACAGTCCTGAGTGTCTATGAGATTTTCGGCTGTAAGAAGATCTATAATATAAAGATATTTAAACTGCCAAGAATTTTTTGGAAAAGATCCAAAGGAATTCTGCGGAGATCATTTTCATCCTGTGTGTGAATGGGAAAATGAGTCATTAGTTTCCCTATTTCCACGTCTCAGCATTTGTGCGATAGCATCTGTGACTGGACATGGAAGTAAAAAATAATATTATCACATATAGGATCAAATAGTGTGCAGGGGGCCAGGCGGTGGTGGCGCACACCTTTAATCCCAGCACTTGGGAGGCAGAGGCAGGCGGATTTCTGAGTTCGAGAGTTCGAGGCTAGCCTGGTCTAGAGAGTGAGTTCCAGGACAGCCAGGGCTACACAGAGAAACCCTGTCTCGAAAAAACAGACAAACAAACAAACAAACAAACAAAAACAAACAAAAAAAATAGTGTGCAAGGAAGACAGCAGTGCCTAAGCGAGGGCCTCACCTGTTCTTGGTACAGTCACCTAATCAGAGCTTTGTGTTGATGGCGTGCCTGTGTGTGTGTGTGTGTGTGTGTGTGTGTGTGTGTGTGTGTGTGTGTGCCTGTGCACTTAACACACACAAATGCAGGCACATGATTTTCATTGTTTGGTGTTAAGAGGATATTCTCTGGCCTGTAAATTAGAAAGATCACATCACTTGAATAGGGGAATTAGACAAACTGTCTCCTTTAAGTATATTACCTTAGAAAAGGTTCCTCATAGTTCTAGTTCCAAAAACTCCAAAAGCAGCACCCGTGCTCTGAGCTGACGCACCTGATACCTGATACCGGAGACCTCTGCCTCAGCCTCACACTGCCCCCCAAGTCTGCACACCCTCCTGGAAATAAAAAGAACTTGAGCACACACACTCTGAACAGAATCAGGGCACCTTGATATATTCACTGTGCTTAATTACAGACCAGAGTTTATTTAGAATGAGCTATACATCTTATAGAGATTAGGGGGTGGAGCGTTTTGCCTGAATTATGTTCTTCAAACTATATCCAGCTGCAGTAAATTCATGTTGAAGGATGAGAGTCTGTGTGGAGTGCCTAGTGTGAAGACTGACATGTAGTAAATTTCAATGACTGTTAGTTTCTCAAATGCTTCTACTCTTTTACATGTGGTGATTCTGTGTGTGTGAACATGCGCACAATGCAGGAGATTGAGGAGAGAGAGAGAGAGAGAGAGAGAGAGAGAGAGAGAGAGAGAGAGAG